AGCAGGAAAGGGTTAATCTACTAGTATTAACAGGCTGGAAGAAATAAGGACATTAATTTCTTTCTATTCCCCACCCCTGACAGATTACTAAAGCAGCAAGAATACAGACATGAGCTTGCAACTTCATACTAATTAGGTTTGGGAATAAATACACAAGCAGTTGCTTTCAACTGTAGTTATGACTAGAAAAGAAATAGGAAAAATAGCCTTTCTGCTCAGCATATATTTTTGATCGGTAATTTCATATTATTTCTCTCAGTTTGTAAATCAGATTAAATTCCTCTAGTTACTGTCTTGCAGATTAAAGGGAAAGAATGTTCAAAGTGTTCTGTTTCAGTTCCTCCACAAGGATTTGGAAATCAGAGCCTCAGCTTGAAAGCAAAAAATGAGTAGGCCAAATTCTACATCATGACTGTGAGCTCCTTCTGCTAAGGGCAACCTTAGTTTTATTGGGAAACAGAAGAGGCCCAGCCCAAAATAAACAGAAGGGGCTAATCTCTCTGTGTGGTCCATTTTTGTTATATTCAAAAGCAGCACTTCAAAATGAAACTAGGTTTTGGTATGACCTTTTGCCTGCTGCCCAACAAGCCTGCTAAATCATTTATTTTCTCTGTGTCTCAATAACTGATCTATACACCATCTTCCCACCTGCAAAAGATGCAATAAGACTTTATTCATTAAGTGTTGGTTAAATCTGTTGGGATACTCAGATGGGAGAACTATGGAAGAGTCACTCCCATTTTACTTAAAATTGAGTCAATGGCTAGAATTCAAGCAGAAATCTGCAAGAAAATGTTTCTCAACTGCTATAGTCATAGACATGGGGATGCTGTAGGTAGATAGTATATTGGGATATTTTTCAAAATGTGATTCTCTTTCTTACACTTTCATGCAAGCCAACAAGCCACAATGTGAATGTTATGTTAACTACCACACCCGAGTTCTTCACTATGGTATACGTCATGTTTTTAATTTGGCCGGGACAGCTCCAGCTAGGTGACAGCAGCCGCAGCTGGAGATCACTATTTGACTCTTTCACAAACTTAAGTTACCTCCATGTGTTAGCATCTGGATCAAACACCTCAATGGTCTTCAAGTATGTTGTGCCATCAAAACCCCCAACTGCCATGAGCTGTCCATTCACCACCGCGAGGCCAACCTGCAAAACAATCATCAGAGATAGTAGCTATTTAGCTGGGATGTCCTGAAAAGAAGGGTTAAAATGAAAATATTAATAAAAGGATGTAATAACTATGGTGAAAGGCAGTCTACAGTGGCAGAGAAGGACAAATAAAATAGCCTAAAAAATAACAAGGCATGAAAAGTTAAACATATCTCTCAAAATAGAGAATCTCTTAAGGAAGAAGCAGAAGGTTCCCCTTATTACCAGCTACAACAATTAGAACTTCCTGTATGATAATAGATACATGAGAACCTAAGCCTTTATCAGCCAAAACTTACTATGTCCTGGACTGAAATTCTACACCAAGTGTGACATGCATGCACCAGAATATCTACCAGTCTACAGCCTGGAATGCTTGCTTAAACTAGGAGAACCATACGTAAGCCCCTGGCCTGCTCCTCTTGGGCTGAGGCTTGGACCTTAGGTAAGCACCTTGGCCTCTGGCCTTTCTATTTTGTCTTTCTGATGAAGCACAAAATCACTGAAATCTCAAAACAGTTCTGTGGTTTAGGAAGATCACTTCCAGTGAAAACATCTCATGGCAAAACAGAGAAAAGACAACAAGAACACAATGTAAAATGGTCCTTGTTTTGGCTTTGGGGAAATCAGAAAGAGCTCAGGAGAGCTGCAGATACAGATGCACCTGTTTAGCAGTTTCTACAGAAAGCAAATACAGAAGCAGCTCATGAAAAGTCATACCCTAACCAGTAACTAAAAAGGAGAGTGTTGGACAGTATACTACATGCTTTGAAGATGGAAATAAATACATATTCTCTTCCTCCAAACCCAGTAGTTGCTCAAATTATGATTCATACTTGCCTCACCAGACACTGAAATACTAAAAGACAGAATTAATCCGCTTTTCACTAGATAACCCAGTATCCATTGATAAATATTCATAACATTTGCATCTGACCAAACATGATGACTACTTAAAACACTATGTTAATCTTTTGTTCACATGTCTACAGAAGGCAGGAAGATTAGCAGCTGATGAGAACATGCTGTCACTCCCCATACTCACAAGATTCAGTGAAGAGAGGTGACATATTAAGTGAAAGCCCAGAAACCCTGTTCCCACACATATCTCAAGGCAATGAAAGGACTTGGCTGGAAGTTTGTATCTAAACACATACTTGCCCAGTTTCCCAGCTCCTCATTCTGGGCAAGTAGGTATGTTCACCTCCTAATTCATCCAAAGTGGATTGCAGGATGAGACTCGGGTACTAGTTTTGATAGTGTTCTCTAATAGTATCTCATACAAAGTATGGCTACTTCACCAAGTAAAAACCTAAATAACTCCTCTGTTTCAGGCCTAAGTAGTTGACTCCACATAAGGGACCAAAACTATCAAAAAGACGACCCTCAAATGACTCCATTTCCCCATCCTCAGGCATGTTAAACAGCTGTCTATGGCACGACACAACCACCGCTTCATCCTCTAGTCTTGCTGAAGAGCTTTGACTTTTTGCAAACCTTTCCCCTCACAGAAGAAGAGAGATGAAGGTACAGAAGGAGCAAGAGGAAAACCTCACAAGATGACACTCTACCCTGTGTTCTCACCATGGGATTATGTATAGTATAGACAATCAAACCAAGCCAAACTCACTCCACTTCGGCGCGATGTCATGGCCACAACAGGAGACCACTGGTTGGTTCGAGGGTTGTATCTCTCGGCACTACTGAGCTCCGTCGTATCATCTCTGCCTCCCACAGCATATATCATGTCTTGGTATACTGCACAGCCCAGGTGCTTCCTTCTTGTCCCCATGGGCGCAATTGTGTGCCAGCGGTTCTCCTGGGGATTGTACCGTTCCACTGCAGAGGAAATGACACATCTTTAGACAACAGGGTTGGCAGGCAATGGGGGTTAGCACTTTTGAACCTGCACCCAAAGTATTGCTCCATCTGTAAAGACGCTGCAATTTCCACACACCAAAAATATGATGAACCAGTCTGTTATGTCTCACTCTAATGCTTTTCTTCTATAGAAGGCTTGCTATTTTCTCTCCAGTCCTACAAAGTCAATCACATTCAGCATCTTCACTCAAGAGTGAACTGGCAATGCTACAAACTGATCTGCATTATCATCTTGCAGTAGTTTTACCTTTGGCACTTTCCTTCCTACAGCAGAAAAGGGCTACTGCAGGAAAAAAGATGTGCTTGCAACTGTTATGCAAATGATCAAAGTATTTTACCCCGGACACACTGCCAAATGCAGCATTGAGAAAGAAAAAGAAACGCACAACCAGGTAATAGCAGCTCACAAGCCTAGAGAGCAAATTACTGTACGGTAAAAATCACATTTAAAGTAGAAAAAACATAGCAAACTGATGACTAATTTATTCAACAGCCATCTGAGGACACTAAGGACAAACAGGACAATGACAAGTGCTGACAGCAATGAGGGAAAACAAAAGGCATACCAGTATTGAGAGGCGAAGTCCCGTCAGAGCCTCCCACAGCATAGAGGAAGCCCCCTAGCACAGCCACTGCAACTCCCAGGCGCCTGGTGCTCATCGAAGCCACTCGAGTCCATTTGTTTTCTTTGGGATCATATCTGGCAAAAGAACAAACACTGAAGTTTAGTGAAATGTTGACATCTTCACAGAGGGGCAGGAAAACTGACTTTATTCTCACCAAACAAAAATCCTCATAAGATTTGTACAGTACTTACCTCCTCTCCAGCTCATCTGCATCAGGTGCCCCTTATAAGAGACCCTCTTCTCCCTGTGCTTTTTTTTTTTTAAATTAAAAAGTACCTTTCCACAATGTTGAGACAAGAGACACCATCCTGGCCACCCACAGCATACAAGTAGCCCCCAAGAACCGCTACTCCAACACTGGTCCTGCAGGTGCTGGTTGGGGCCACATCACTGCTCCACTGATTGGTCTTGGGATCATACCTAGAAAAACATGAACAGCACAAATTGCTTGTCTAGGTATGCTTCAGACTCTCCCATGCTTGGGAACTACAAAGGCAGTGAAACTTGCCTATCTTGAGCTTAAACTGCAACACAGCTATTTGTAAGCTGGATAAAATCCCTGAAGTGATGTAATGCACCCAATACATGTTATTCTAGGGATGTTCAAACTGCAGCTTGAGACGATTAACTCAACATCAAAGGTTCAGGTTCATAAGACAGGAGGTTACCAGGGACTGTCTGACATGTGGTAACCTGCATCCATGCAAAGAGCAGCAGCCAGAGTTACTCTGCTGTACGTTCTCTGCAGTTCACACAAGTACTCAGCCAGCACTGGGACCTGCACTTCGAGATAAAAGATTAAGGAACCAGATGGACTTGGGAATCCAGAGACAAGGAATAAGAGTGCATAGCACAAAAGTACAGAACATGGGAGATGCAAGGCTAGGGTCATGATTTATGAAGCAAGGAGTATGCAAGGAGATACATGGGAAGAAGGGGAGGCTCAAGGAGAAATGAGATATTTGTATAGCTCATTGGATTTGTTACAGGGCCAAGATTTAGCGTACTAGGAGTGCTTGAGTCATGTGGCTTTTAGACTGCCATATGCCCAGAAACAGGAAGCTTGACTTCCATCTTTCACAGGTCTAAATCTGACCTATTTTCCTTCTTCTGTATAAGTGTTTGCAAGGTTCCTTAATTCTCTAACTACCACTCCACAATAAAATTCCACGATCTTTCCCTCAACAACTACTTAACCTGACCTTAAGGTAAGGTAAACTGTAAGGCTTATTGTTACCTCACCTTCCTCAACAATGCTAAAAACAAACCAGCAATTGGAAAGAAGGTTAACCAGGATCATCGCTTCTCCAATCAATTATACCCTGACCTATCTCTTACATACGCCTTCCTTATACCAAAGGCTACATCTTGTCTCATTAAGCTGGGGATAACATGACACAAGCTGTTATGCATGAAGTCCTTGCTCAGCAGTAAATCAACACAATATTGAAGGGGTATACAAGAGAGGAGGAAACATAGAAAACATGTGATATAAATTTCAGGTTTTCAGCAGAACACCACCACAGATGGCAAAATGAACTCATTTTTAAGAGGCTGCAGCCTGTTTAAACATTCAGAGTTAATATTTTGCACATTGGTCTTACAGAGACCTACCTTTCTACGCTGTTAAGATAAGAGGAACCATCATGGCCTCCCACAGCATAGAGGAGGTCATCCAGAACACTGACTCCAACACCACAGCGTCTTTTGCTCATGGAAGCCACCATCCGCCACTCATTGGTTTGAGGGTCATAGCGCTCGACACTGGAAATTGCATCCCCGCTACACCAGCCCCCCACTGTAGGAACCAAACACAAGAAATGGCGTCATAATAACGCACTGAGCTCATGTACTGTATGCGTGCCTGGTACTAATAATCCCTCTGGGCTTTGTCAGCCTTAACCCAGTAGCCCCATCTCCAAGTTACTCATTCTGAGGATTATAACTAGAAGACAGATTGTGATTTGCAAGAGGATTAGCGTTAAGTTTGGAAGTAGTGTGGCATTCACAGCTCCAAAGAAATCACACAAGTAGTAAGACAGTGTAGAGTTAACTCACATCTCCAAATATCAACGCACAGGTCACTTCAGAAATATGTTGTAAAGACTAGCCTTATGGAAGCACTATCACTAGAAAACCCAGACTTGAATCTCCTGACCTAAGTTAGCAGGAACTATACATACCTGCAAAGAGCACTTCTCCACAGCGGATGGGTTTGCGCGGTCTAGTTCTTGGTCCTTGCATCAGTGGCCGCTCTTGGGGCAACAGCAGATAATTTTTAGCTTCATCCACTAGATCCCTGTGCAAGACAGGAAAATATTCATGCCAAAAATTCACCTGATACCAGTCTCAGGAGAAGATATGAATCAAAACCAATGGCACGAAAAGCCAGCACTAGTCATGCACTTCAGGTATTCACAAATGACATAAGTGCATGAATAGTTCTATTTAGAGCATACACTGTCACCCAAGTACTCATCAGCTGTTTACAAGTCATTTACACAGTGACAGCAGCAGACCAGTATTTGGCCAGTGTTAATAATATATATTGCTTGCTATAAAGACTGATAAAAAACTGTGACAGAGATGTCAGGCTTACTATGCAGAAAAGAAAAACCCTGAGTGCCTCAAGCTGAAACTTAACAATCAGTTGTTTTGCCTAGGAACAAAACAGGAGTTGAAAAGCACACAAATACATAATGCACACACGACCAATAGATGGAGATAGTACCCTTCTGATGAATATTTTCTCCATCAGCTCTGGCCAGCTCACTGTCCATCCATTCAGGACTTGCCACCTGGACTAATCCTAATATTCCAAACCCTTGAATAAAACAAAAAAGAAAAAAAAAGTCCTCCTTCCCTCTACAAAGGTGGAATGCCCCCACTACGAATGCTTATTCAGGAAGAGAACAGTTTAGCCTATCCCCTCAACATTTTTACATTAAGCACAAGAAAAAGTGCTTTCTAAGTGATATACAACTCCAAAAAGCTAGAAAGGTGAAACTCATACTGTAAGAGGAGGAAATGACAGCTTCCCTGCACTAGCACTGTGGGAAATAACTGAATTAGACTCTGGGATTAGAGCCTGCTATCAAAGTGCAGACTTTTTACATAGAAAAGCTACTTTAAGTCCTAATGAGATCATGAATGCCACGCAAGTGGTAAGCTATAATGAAAGGCCATGACTAGAGAAACAAAAAAGGTGAAATGGAAAACAATACACTGAAGGGTGTTTTACCAACAGTCAAACTGTGCACTCAAAGTTTACTCTTGCACTGAAACCTTAAAAGAACAAAAAACACTTCTAGGGCACACTATTGACTATTAACGCAAATAGTAAACACTTTTTTCTTGTTATCTCTTCTCCTCCCAGTTGCAAAAGAGGAAATTGTCAGATATCGCCCATTTACTACTGACAAATCAGCACAGTTTTAGGGAACGGATGCAAATAAGGCACTCAAATACAACAAAATCCAATTCTTTAAATCAGTGAGAAGATTTAC